CTGAAATGCTGACGCGTGGATGCCTTTTGGAAGGCCCTCCTGCCTGGGCTCGGCGCACCGGCCACATGGAGGCCCATGACTAAAGGGGGAGGCATTAGTAACGACCCTTTAGTCCCGGTTCTAGAACCGGGACTAAAGGCCCTTACGAACCGGGACAATTGCCCTGTTTTCTACTAGTGCATGCAGATGCTGTTAAGGTTGCATTTTCCACTTTGGGGGTCGGGTGAGCTGTTTAACTAATATGTGCATTTTCTTTTCTTATACACTATATGCTTTACTTCATTTTTTAATTTAACTTATGGCAGCTAATTGCACATCTCTCAACTTGTTTCATGCAATTATTTTATTTTCAACTTCAAGTAACATCTGATTTCCCGAATTCTTTGTACTCATTTGTATCTTTTGACCAGCCATCTGCTAATTGTCGCCCACCTGAATCTGCACCAAAGACGCCCACCAGCATATAGATAAGCTTCTCTAACCCTCTACATTGACATGTTTTCAACTGTTTTTGTGATGATTGTGATTACTATTGTCCCCACCGGAAAAGTAACACATGAATTGAACTTGACGCCACTAAAGTTAAATTAAGTATATCCATCTTGTGTAACCATGCACTTAAGTTGTTTAAGAAAAAAATGCTTATATGTAATCACATTTTTGCTTCCTATACCAATGATCAATGTCGTAAGGAGGTCACTGTCTTATAACAGACTATACACATGTTTCTTTATAATACTCCTACATAACATAAAATTTTCAAATAACTTGCTTGTCAACTAGCATTGCAAATCACAGTCCAGTACATGGTTCCATAAAGGCAATTTATATTGTTTTGCACTTACTATGATAGAAATGGTCTAAATGTCTGAATAACGATGACTGTGCAAAGTATTTAGCATACAGGGATAGAACCATAAAAACAAATAAACTGCCCAAATGATAATAAATTATCGGTGAAGTTAATTATTCTGATTTAGCAAATCAAACTTACCTGAATCTGCATTTTAAGAGACTAGATATCAGGTCAATAACATGCTATGCTACTTGTATGCAATGCAACGGACTCAAAATATATAATTGAATTTGTTAACTTTGAAAATTAATTGTGGGCAATGTCTGTTGATGGTATATTAGAAAAATATGATCAGTTTATAAGACCACTCAAAAGTAATTGTCATGCTGCTAGATTAGTTATTGCATGGCCTTCAACCTTTGTGTTAAATTTTATTGCTCTATTGACCAGCTTTTTTCTTTCTCTAATGGCATGTTACTTGTGTATTTATGTTGATGTAGATTTCCAACATAGACAAAGGATGCATGACTAAGTTGATTGCAAGGCAGAGAATGGGGATTACTACCCGATAGTTTTATGTTAATGTTTTAGTATGACATTTTCGTGGACAATGTATAGAAAGTCTTGTGTTTATTTCTGGATTTTTCCCATGTAATGCAACCGAGTTGATTTAATATATGAGATCTTTTTATTTATGATTTGCTGCTCCTATGCACCATCCGTATTGACCAAATAATTGTTGGCTGCGAATATACAAAATACTCCCTCCTTCCACTTATATAGGGCCTAATACGTTTTTCAAGGTTACCTTTGACCACTGGTTAGCACAATGATATATATATATGACACTCATGTTACACAAAGCATACCATCAAATTCTTATGTGAAAGAAGTTTCAAATGATATAATTTTTATATCATATATCTCATATACTAATAATTTTATCATTGGTCGAAGGCTACCCCGGAAGACGTATTAGGCCCTATATACATGGAAGGAGGGAGTATAAGTAATTGTTCATGCTATATATGCAGCAACGCTCGCACTAATATGGTTCTCTCCATTTCAACTCAGTTTGGGGTAACCACCAACGCATATGAAGCGTAGTTATGTTGTAACTGTGGGAGCATTTGGATCTAAGGCAAGAGTTAAGCTAGCCTTGCTGGGCAAGGTTAGGCGTTTGGCATGCACAAAAAATTGACTTTTGATGGCAATTAGGCATGTAACCGCTGTCAAATTCGGACTCATGGAGGAGAGCCAATTTGGCTCGCTCGCATCGACAAACATGCAACACAAAATAAAATCAACACCACCAGCTCTGCACCCGTATCGTAACTACCCTGTGCATGAGTCGTGGTGCATCATACACCACCTCCATATGTATTGTTTTGTGAGATATTCTCCAGGTAATAGCAAATTAGAAACAAACAACAAAGCTTGCTCCTATGTACTCTTGCTCAGATCGGCTACGAGAATCTAGCCTAGCTAAGTAAGGCTAGCTAACTAACCAAATGCGTAGTCCTACAACTCTTTTTTAGATTAATTACGAACACAATTATATGCATTGTTGTAGACCCTTCCAACGCCACTAACGACAACACATATACATCCGTTGGTGTAGACCTCAGCAACGCTTATATGAAGATTCTACAACGCATCAATGCGTTGCTAAACGGGGGTTCCTATTGTAGTGTTAGAAGAAAAAAAGCAAATTCCAGTTTAGGATCTGAAGATGTAGATCATTAACAAAACAATCAATGAATAATATTGATACACTCAATAGATCAATTGTATACTTTTATTTATACTAAACTTTTATATTTGTTTATAATTGATCAAAATCATAGCTAATATACCCTTCTAAAGTTAGAGCATATTTTGTCATAAAATTTACATTTTTATAGTAATCTAGGATTTACAAATATATTTAAAGAAATTCTTCTAAAACAACAAACTTACAAACCTTCTTACATTAATTTGTGGCACTTTTCATTAATATAGTATATATATTTTCTATGTGTATCTAGTATCCTTAAATATATCGGTAGACATATCTAAAGAATACTATAAGTAATATCTTGGTAGTGATTTTTAGTTTATGGTTATTTATGCTCAAACCAAAAAATATCGAGTGTATGGTGTCTATGAGGAGCTTGTTGACAACTCATAGAGGTTTGGTTTATATATATATTTCGAGACAAATGTGTCTTGCATATGATGGTAGTTTTGATTATGTATTGATGTTTTGTGTTCGTTTGGTACTTGGTATGAAAACACCATTGCTCGCATTCAACAGATCATGCAGAACATTCACCAAAGGAAGAGTAGCACCATAATGAAATTGGCAACTACCCATAATAGTGATTTGTTTCTACATGGTGAACAATACTTATTTGTGTTCTGAAATTAATACGGAAAAATTAGGGCCCTTTGTATTAGTAGTGTAATAGTTGATATACATAGTTAGCATGTGGGCAGGTGGCTCCTCTCTAGGAGACCAGAGAAGTTGCCACTCTGCCCTCCACTTTTTTTTAAAAGGGGATAAAACCGACTTCTACACCCTGCCTTCCACATACATAGGATAGATAAAAAAGTTATGTTCATATATTAAATGGATCTGTAAGGTCTTCTCAATTCCTCCAGTATCCAATCTGACCTGCAATATTAATATTGAACTTGTCACAGTAGTTACAGAATTATCACATCATTGCACGTACATATTTATTAGTTATCTTAGGAAAAAATATATTTTTCTTGAAACTGGCTTGAGAGACTAAAAATCAAAGAGTTTTTCTTGTTTGGGCAACATTCTTGAAAACCAACATAAAATCGGTATTGGTGTTTCTCACCCCCACCTCCACCCCCTCTTTTGAGCATGAAAATAAACCTTGAGCCATTTTAAAACATTTGGGTCCAAAATTCTTGTGTAGTATAATAACCTTGTCCCACATGAGAACATGAATCAAAGAAACCATGCTTTCTAAATTTGATAGAATATAATGCATTGCATATTTTTTTGGCACGATACGGTTTGTCGAAAAAACATTTCACCAGAAAAACATAAGAGGGTTAATTAGATATATACCACCCCAATGCTTACAGATTGATAAAATGCCAGGAACAATAAAAAATGACTTTCTAGAGATTCCAATATAGACTACATAAGGAGAAAATAAGTGAATCTACACTTTAAACTAAGTCTATACCGTATGTAGTTCATATTGAAATCTTTAAAAACACTTATATTTAGAAATGGAGGGAGTATGAACTTAAACGTCGCAAGTTTTCAATCAATCAAATTCTTTCTTAAAAGCGGGGCATATGCATCGAAATTAAGATGCACACTGCTGCCTCAGTTAAGTTGTTACACACTGTATGCCGACTATAAATATCAGTGAGAACGAGCAGCTAGTAGCTAAAAATGTAACCCTAGAAGGCTTGTACGGTAAGCACTCCCGGGTTCCGCGAGCGAAAGAAGGTCGGCATTGGAAGCATGCTCGGGTCAGGCGAGGCGAGGACGCTCGGGCCAGAGAACATGGGGCCTATGTGTGGCGTTGTCGATTTCAGAACCGTGGCCGTTTTGTCGTCCTCCTGCTCCTTGTCCTTGTCGCTCGTCCAGATCTCTGCGCTAGCTTGTGCAGGGAGAGGCTTCTTGTGTGTGTCCCAGCGATCAGCGGGGGTGGTGCGGCTGGGCGGCAGCTGCTTGTTGCTATCCCACCTCCCGCACGGCGACGCCCCGCCAGAGCTCGTGCTGCTTTGCCGGCTTGACGACGATGACGTGCAGCTGCTGCCGGAGATGTGCTTGTTTATGTCCCAACGCTGGCAGGAGGAGGCTCGGCCAGGACTTGAGCTGCTGGAGCACGACGAGGCTGGGCTCGTGGGCTTCTTGTCCTTCTTGTGCGCGTCCCACCTCTCGACCGAGTCGGCTCGGCCGGGCTTGGGGTTGGAGGCGAACGAAGCCGGCAGGATGATGAGGCAGGGCTTCGTCGGCGGGGTCGGGAGAAGACCCGGGAGAAGGGAGGCGGCGGCTTTGGCCATTGCTCGCTCAACGGAATACATTGGTGATATCTCTTGATCCAAGAACGAAACAGCAAGCGCTTTGTCTTCGAGAGAGAGGAGGCGCCTTGGCCGGAGAAGGAACAGATGATCTGAATCTGATGGTACGATGGATGGATGGAGTTGGGTGGGTGCGTGCGGGCGTGCTATATATATAGATTACAGCTCCTCCGCTAGGGGACGCCGAGTCGGGCTGCAAGAGACATCTCCCGCACTGACGTACGGCTCCATTTCGAATTAGGGCCAGGACCGTGTTCGACTGCTGGTCGGCCAAGTACGAGACTACATTTCGGATTAGCAGTGCGCTAGCTAGATGAATGAGTTCCGTCATCGTATCAATAGTACTCCTCTGTAAACTAATATAAGAACGTTTAAATCACTACTTTAGTATTCTAAATGCTCTTATATTAGTTTACGGAGGGAGTACCTTTTTTCCTTTTCTCGTCGTAAGTACGTACGTGCGAAGCAGCAATCATTTTCTTGGGAGGGGATTGCATTGACATGTACGTACGCCCACACTAATTTACATGTTGTGCATGCATGTATGTGAGCGTTTTCAATTGTACTGTGTTCAAAAAATTCCTTTCTCTCTTATTTTTGTGAATCAATCAATAATTTCATTTTTTTCTTTAGGGTTAAAAATAATTTTGATGGAAAAGCTATCTGGAGAATGTGAATAATCTGATGATTCCCGGCGAACACCCCAATCACCGTCGTTTTTTTGGTGCATCTACCTTGGAGCAATATCTGGTCCATGTCATCCTAAAAGACGCATTCACTAGCGAAGCTTCATTCGAGCGCATTTCCAATTCATCTCCTTGTCTGCTAGACTCGCTTGGCAACCACCCGTGTCGCGGTCTCACTCTCTTCATTGACAACATTTGCCACCCGATGACGCTCTAATTTGTCAAGGTGAGCGAGGTAGAGGAGCTCCATCTCCAAATCGACGACGTCCCCTTCACCAAGGTATTGGAGAAGGAGTGAAATAGTCGGAATTGATGGATCAGGCACGAGAAAGCCAAGGCGGGCCGCGCGATGAACTATGCGGGCGTGACGCCAGCTCAGGCGAACCGGCGATGGCGTGCTGCGGCAGAGGTAGTAGCAGAGGCAGGCGGATTGCCGCAGCTGCAACACCATGGGTACCGCTGTGTGGAGAGCACGGCGGCGGTGATGGCGGGCGTAGGTGCGGTCTGGCGCTCCTCGCCAGTGAGCAGCGTCCCAGACCGGTGGCCTACAAGCGCGTGTGGGTGGAGAGTGGATAGGCACCAGCGCCCCCCCTTCTGCCTCAGGATCGGGCTCGTCTTCATCCGCTCCACAAGTCAGGACACCGCTCGCCATATTTGTCGAATGAATTTCACATCGTATCGCGATTGAAACATCAGTCTGCAATTTGGTTTGTGCCATTGTGATGTTGTAGTGCCGATTTTACTATAATATCAATTACTCATATAAAATTGACAGAGCAGGTTATATGTTTTTATTCCAATGCAGTGTGTCCTCTTGATTTGAGGGATGCAGCTGTACTATTGCCATTTGTCTGCATACTTTTTGTCAGATGCACTATTTTTTTATCGTGTGTGTGTGTGTGTGTGTGTGTGTGTGTGTGTGTGTGTGTGTGTGTGTTATGGAAGATGATTCCACTAGGATTGTTGTGCTGTTTTGCACAAATTGATAGGTGTTTTCCGATGGCACATTTCTGTCATTTTTTTAGGCTGACATATTTGTAGTTTTGTTATGCAGCACATGACATGTTAGTTCTATTTTTTCATGACAATTTTATAGATTTTGTTCTAGAAAAACCATGTCAATCCTTTGTAAACGAACTTGGCACTTTTAAAAAAATGAAATGGCAATTTTCCAAAATTTCTGTTAGCTTGTGTCAAATTTTCTTATGTTAGTACCGTTCTTGCATGGTAATTTATAGATTTGTGCCAAAAAAGATCTATGGCAATTCTTTGTAAAGCAACATGGCACATTTAAAAAAATTAAGATGGCAATTTTCCAAAATATGTGTTAGTCAGAACATAGAAATTTGTGTTGATTTTTGTGTGTTTTTCTTGGCCATGCCAATTTTAAGGAAGGGAAGCCTTGGCGCAGTGGTAAAGCTGCTGCCTTGTGACCATGAGGTCACGCGTTCAAGTCCTGGAAACAGCCTCCTGTAGAAATGTAGAAAAAGACTGCATACAATAGACCCAAAGTGGTCGGACCCTTCTTCGGACCCTGCGGAAGCGGGAGCTAAACGCACTGGGCCATGGCAATTTTAAGAACCTTTTTGTTTTACGAAATGGAAAGAGTAGTATGACAATAGCTTCTCAAGCAGTTCAACTTTCTTTGTGCTAGTATACACGACATCAGCTCTGTCCAATTAAACTAATTGACGACACCAAATAGACTTGCATGTGTAGCATTCTTATAGATATCATCCTTGTTGTTTAGATAGTTTCACCATTGTCCTATGGTTTCATTAGAGAATGTTTTTTGGTTGTGTCGTTTCAGTGCTAAAACTGCATGGTAGACAAGCACATGGCCTTTTTTATGCGGGTGATATGCTCATGTTCTTGTAAATCATGCCACTTTTTTTAAATAAATTCTTTCTTCTCACATGACAAATTTAAAATTTAAATATTTCATGCCTGCAAATTGGTGGGAACCTTTTCTGTCGCATGGGAAGTTTTAGAAAATTTTGTTATGTTCACATGGCAAGTTGAATTAAAAAATATCGGCATGTCTATATCTTAATCATGGCCTTATTATTTTGTAGATCATACGCTTTTTATTTTGAATACAATGGCATTTATATTAGAAAGAGCATGTCATTTTTATTATTAATAGAATGGCATTTTTTTAACAACATGAAATTTGTTTGTGACGAGCATGGCATTTTTGTTATGAGGAGCATGGTATTTTTTATTAACAACATTGTATTTTTAATGTAGAGTATGTCAATTTTAATATTTGTTTCGATTAAGAAGATATAGAACATGACAATTTTAAAATTTGTATCACGGCATTTTTATTTTTAATGCCATGGCATTTCTATTATCTCAATCATTGAAAATTTCTTTTTTGTTTCCAAATCTTACAATTTGAAATCATTCTTGATCATGGCATTTCCCTTCTGTTGTCATACATTTTATCGAAGTTTCCATGTAGCATTCTATTTGATGGCATTTTTTAACTTAGAATATTAATTTCTGTTCATATTGCAAGTTATATAAATTTGTTTAGGATATTTTTAAATTTCATGACAATTTTATTTTCCACAATTGTTGTAATCATCAAGAGTACAACTTTTCAGAGTTTTTTAGTGATAGATAATTCATTTAAAAAAACATGTGATAGTTTTATTCACTAGAGCATGACAACTTTCTTTTTGTGATGTAGTTGTATATAGATGGATTTTCCTTGACAATTTTCAGAACTTCTAGGGCATTTTTTATGTAATCCTTTTGAACATGGTGATATTTTTATTAGATACTTATCATGGTAGTTTGTTTTATTTTGTTCAGCCATTCAAAGTCAAGTACAAATACCAGTTTTAATTTTGGTAGTAGTGCACCGCAAATTGGGATTTTTGGCCCAGCTTGGGCAAGGATGTGAGCTGCAAGTTTACGTACATAGATGGAGGGGGTTCGATCATGGTGTCGCTCGATCGACCCCCTCATGGAACGATCAATTCGCTGGTACGTCCACACTTGAGGAACGTTCCGCAGATCTTAGGACCCAAATTTTCTTGATGGGTCGTTCCATTAGGCTACCGAAACCGTATGCACAAGATTCGATCCTTTCTCTTGGAAACTGTTACTCACGATGGAGTTGTTGGATCTCCCTGAAGAGGAAGGGTGAAGTAACATAGTAGCATATAGTATTTCCCTTAGTTAAGAACCAAACTTTATCGAACCAGTAGGAGGAACCACACCAGCAACTTGAACTGTACCTCCACACGGACACAACAATTTCTTACACTCAACAAAGGCAAGGGGGTCATCACTCCCCTTGTTCTTGCCAGTTACAAGATTAAAACTGATAATGATAGGAAAAGCGATAAAAAGTAAAGAATAAAGTAAAAAGAAAGCAAATAGAGCAAATGTAGGAGTTTTAGTATTGGTGGAGAATAGACCCTGGAGCCATTCACCCGTGGCATCTCTCTCGAAAGCATAGCAATGGCGGGTAAACATATTACTGTTGGGAAATTGATAGAATTAAGGATAGTTGTAATTGTGATTATTCATGGCATAATCACTACTAAGCATTACGACCGTGACAAGTAGACCGTTTACTCAATTGCATGTACTGTTGTTACTGCACCCCAAGACTGCTATCCAGCATGCATCTGAACGTATAAAGTCCATGACAAACATAGTAACGCAACAAGCATGAGGACATAATGTAGACAGAAAGAGATCAATCAATATGACCAAACCCCGTTGTTTTATCCTTAGTAACAACCATACAATACGTGCCTTTCCCCACCTGTCACAGAGCAAGATCACCGCAAGATTGAACCTACTATAAAGCATCTCTCCCGTTGAAGATAGATAAAACTAACTTGGCCAAAGTAGACGGATAAATCTGAGAGAAATGCAAAGCTATAAAATCCGGGCCAGGACACCGAGTCGGGCTGCAAGAGACATCTCCCGCTTGCCGCAGTGACGGACTCCATTTCGAATTAGGGCTAGGACCGTGTTAGCAGTCAAATGTACATTCTTCACTGGACGGAGGGGTATGTAAAATTCCTAACTGACTCTTCTTTCCCCGCCGCCCCCGCTGAATTCCAGGGGGTGGGGCCGTTCCTCCCTTAATCTCCAATTCTAACCCTCCACTTGGCTGGTTACGTTAAACCCATATAAGCAAATTTCTGTAGGTATAGCGATCGATCGATGCGTGTGTTTTAGTGGAGTAATGCTATACAGCTACACAATACTAATTACGAGATTTACGATATCAACAACGTGGGCTTTTGTGATTAGATTTGGGAGGAG